TGTTCCCATTACTGACAGAAGATACTTGCAGCTTGACTCTCTAGGGCTCTATCAGTTCTGGCATTTCCTCTTCATAAAACAAGAGAGCCCAACACATCATTCTTAGGGCAGCAATACAAATTGTTGGCCAAACTACTAGAAAGTCTTAAGCCAGAATTACTGTATGACCCTGAGATTTAAAAAAAAAAAAAAAAAAAAAAAAAAAAAAGAGCCTCTTTTAAAAAGGAAAAAAAAGGGGTTTATTTTTTTTTTTTTTTTTGAACTTACTTGTGTTGAAGCTCCAGGCTATTTTGGTCTTTTTAAGCTCCTAGGATGAGTTGCATTAGTGCCAATTTCAAGCTATTTTATGGCATAGGAAGAATTCGAGCATGATGAATCCTATGTATAAATATACAGAGCTCCAAATTTTGTTTTATGTTCTAATATATGTGTGTATAGATATACAAATGAACCACTAACATGGCAAGAATAAAAAAAATTTCAAAGCCAAAAGCCATTAATGTTTCCCATTACCTCCTCAGAAGCATGAAGGGGTTGTTTTATGATCAAGTATGGCTAATGTTAATAGGCTTGCGCAGGAGCTGTGCAATGCCACCATTCAGCTGCTTTCCCCATAGGATTCCTGGCAGATTTCTTTTGAATGATGAGATTTGCTGCCGTCTTTAGAAATATTACCTCAGTCACAATCAACCAGATGCAAATAAGCAACTCTCTAGGCAACTCTTTGGTTGAACAAGTGTATTAAGACCTTTTTCAACACTGTTTTTTTTATCTGAATACCACTATGTTCATTAAAATAGGAACTCTTAAGTAGTCTCACTGAAACATTTTCTAAGGAGGGATGCAATTTTACAGAAAGGCCTTGCAGGTACTCATATTCTAAAGTACTGTCTTGGTGCGAATAGTTTTATTAGGGGCTAATGGAGAATCTCCACTAAACTACAATCTTTCCTATTCCTTACATTAATGCCACTTTCCCCAGGGGTTTAAAGAATACATCTGTTTCAACCACACACGGTAACAGAGATGCAATTGTGAACGCAGGACAGGATTTCATGCTTACCTCCCTAGTCAATGCAGTGTAGGGAATGAAGTCCTCATCCGTCTTTCTGCTCATCACAGATTGCCCAGCATACTCTTGACACTAACCACATTCCATATAAAATCCTATCAAATGGTAGCCGTTGACTAGAGGAAGCTGCAGAGCAGGAAAAACAGAGAATAGTATAGATACAGGGGTGTTCGTAATCCCTCATGGTCAACAAAAATCTCCCTTAGCGTCTCAAATTCGACTTCCTCAATGTTACAAACAGGAGAGTACATTACGTAAGTCTTAAGTACAGTTCTTGCATTTGGTTGTATATACAAGTACACCCTTGTCCCCACATCTCTTTTACAGAAAAACAGTTAACAACGTGTGTAACAAAGTTAAAATGTTTGTTTATTATTTTAACAAACAGAATAGCTAACAGCCTCTTTAAAAATAGAACAAAAACTTTACTTGAGAAGAACAGGCATGCCACTATCTATTAGTCTTAGAGTTATAATGGAACTAGTTGGAATGAGGGAATATTTCAGATAAGGGTAAGGTAAAACAACTGAAACAAAAAAGAGTAGCCACTCACAAAAATGGCCACATGGGTATGGGCAAATAGCCTTTAGAGGATGAAAACAAACAGCTAGTTCAGAACTGTTTTGCTAGAGGTATGTTTGCAGACAGTTGTCTATAAAATAAACAATATAAACCTGACTGTAATAGGACTTGAGTATATACACAATGGGTATTCCGAAGTTAACATCACTAAACCAAACACATGGTTCCTTCTTCAAGCTCTTCCTCCTGAGAGATCATCAGCCTTTAAAATCGAAGCGTTAGTTAAGTGCAAGACCAAAAGGAAAATATTTGTGTGTGAAAAATTAAAATAAAGGGAGGAGAGCAAATTTTGCCATTTTAAGATATACAAAACAGCCTGGATGACACACTGTTAGAAACTTGTGCGAACTTAAATTCCAATCTGATTTGCCACTAGCTGCCTATGTGCTTTCCTACCTTGAATTTCTCCTTTTATCATATTTCTGGCTCTGAGTGTGAAGGGATGAAAGTAGGGTCTTAGAAGCTGCTAAACTAAGCTTGCAGCCTATATAATGATATAATGAAATTCTCTTTAAAGAGTCTTGACAGTTACCACAGGGGCACTTAGATATAAACACAGTGCATGCCACTGTGGCAAAGGCATGACACGAGCTCTCGTGTCAGTTCAGAATTAAAATTGTGTTTAAAGCGGGTCTTTTCTCTCCTTCATCAGGCACATGCATCAGCAAAAGCACTAAGATTGCCTGCTGAGGAGCAAGGTGAGAATGGATTTCTTTTATTGCACAGAAGCAGTTTACGATATTAAATAAAGGTATGTTCCACTTTAGGAAGTTTGTCTTACTACTTGAAATTGAATCAATATTAAGTTCCAAGGAGGTCTGTAAACAGTGTCAGTGCATTAAAGTTCTTGTAAAATGAATTTGAAGATCCTCAAGAAAAGCTGAATGATTACCAACCTTTAAACAGGACAACATAGCCTGCCTTGACACTTTGCTGCTATGGTACTTTTATTAGCCTGCTATCTCAAACAACAAAGATCACTGAACAGTTACAAGCTATACTTTAAACAATGCTTATCTTGAAGTGTTGTCAAGAGACTCTTCTGAAGAGCTGACAGAACTTCATTATTTAGCACAGATTAATAAAATGTCACTATTCAACACTAAGTCCCATCTTTATTGATATAAAATAGCATACATGCCACATATTAAGAGCTTCTCTTTGGTTCCACCAAAGATGATCACATGAGCACTTGTCTTCCCTAGGAGAACAGACCTTTCTGTGGTCTCAGGAGGGTAT